AAACTTTCTTCTCCCTGTACTACAGAGCCAGCTCTCCAACATCTCAATAAACCTGCCTGCTTTGGAAGCTTTCCAGTCACATCTTTCTGTACATGCTTTTGGATATATACTTTATAAGCTCTCTCCTTGTTAGACTGCTGCTGTTTCAAGCTTATTCCATTAATACTTCATGTGAAAATAAACCTCTCTGCATTTCAAGAAAACAACTGTTCCCTGGCAACAATTAGTGGAAACTCTTGCCATTGGTATTTCACTTTGATTGAAGATTTAGGAAGGGGGGAAGGGACCCTCAGTTCTCCTTTGCTGTCATCAGTAAAACCAACAGCCCAAAGGACAGTTTTCTTCTCAAAAGTAAAAGATTTCAAATATTTCAATTCCCAGAGGGCTGAAGGGAAAGAAAGGAAAAACAAAACAGCAGCCTAGACCATTGTAACTACTACAATCAGCTGTTCCACACTAAAAAACATGTTGTCCTCCATATCCCATTGCTATTAAAAAATGTGCAGCTTGAAATACAATGACTAATCCCACTTTTATAGCCAACCAACTAGAACATCTCTCCAAGATAAAAGAGAGCATTAGTGCTCATCAGAACCAAAAATACACTCGGAAAAAAGGAAATCTTAACTATTTAAAATTTGAAAAAAAAAAAAAAAGTGAGTTAGAGCTCTAGGAAAGTTGGGTGCGGAAGTGCTCGAAAGGGCTTTGAAGTCCCGAGAAATACGAAGGCTCCAAACTTTGTCACACAAAGACGGAACTGGCAATTTGTCAGAAGCCAAAGGGCTGCAGCTAATTATTCTGGATTTGCATAGCTTGTGAAACAAAAATAAATGCGTGTCCCCATCAGAGGTACTTGTGATGATTTCCACTTCACTGCACATGTTTTCAATCTTACATTCTTCAAACTAAGCCAAACAGATTTTTGCCTGAAAAACAAGGTATATGGAGATGTTCTTTCTTTTCCTCACCAATACACAGTTATAAGAAATAGAATACTCTACTGGCTGAAGAAAAGCTGACAGTATGCAACTCTAAATTTGGCCCTACGTTAATCTTGAGGGGCGAAACTGAACAAAAGCAAGCTTTAAAAAAAAGGTTCAGAAACAGCTTTATGTTTTAGAAACTTCTCAAAACCCATATTTGCTAGATTCCATTAATAGAAAAGATTTATTTATTACTGTTAATGTCTAATTAGCCAATCACTGCATAAATACAGAAGCAGTCTTCCCCTTGAAACAGTGATGAAAGAAATTAAGAAAGGCTTTTGTTGAAGCACTTAGTGCCCTGGCAGCCCAGTGCTAGCGCCAAAGCTGCTGCCTGCCCAGTGGCCTACAGGCCATGGTACTACTGGGGCTCTGGGTACATGTCACCACGCAGGGAATCGCCACCCCACCACTGGCTACCTCCTCTGGTGGCTCCAGCTGCAAGAGGCCAGGGGAACCGGCAAGAAAATAAATCAGGATGACAGGGAATAGCCCAGGGTCTGAGAACCCACAGCTCCCCAGACGTCTGAGCTCTACCCTGTTCCATGCAGCCCTGTCAGCACAGCTGCCAAAACACCACTTGGGCTGGAAGAAAAACAGCATTCCTGCAGAGCTTGCATACGGCCTTCAGGTTTTGGGGTTTTTTTTGTTTTGTTTTGTTTTCTTTTTCAGTTCTCACCTTAAAAATGGAACAACAGCATTTCCTGACCTCTCTGAGTACAAGCAGGATAAGCACCCTAACATGGTGGTGGAGATGCCTACTTAAAAACCAAGAAAACAGCCTGCCACAAGGTAAGACTTTGAGCACAGTCCTCGATCCAGGGAGATTTCTGTTTGGTTTCCCTTCTGATATAATAATGGTTTGTAGCTGCCCCACTGACTAGGATTTAAGTCTCAAGAAGCAAATCTAGGTCCAAAATGCTTCCAAACTTTATGTTGTTACTCAGACTTCAGCCACTGGAAAAAAAGACATGAGCTAGCCTGATCAGAATAAATCCGAGGTTCCCAAATGTTTGGGTGCAGGCTCAGACTTCGGAAAGGCTCAGTCTTTGGAAATTTCATAACTTTGAAAGCTTTTTATTCATTTTCTGTACTATCTTTTAATCTAAGACAGCTTGATGGGTGTTACTCAACTGTACTAAATAACATATTACATTTCAGCTCCTATGCATTGAGTTCACAGTGAATTCTCATTGTTAGAATTTAATTAGGATTTCTATAAAGAATAACAAAGAAAACAAAATTACTTATCACCCCAAGAGTTGAGAGTTTTTTTTTTGTTTTTTTTTTTTCAATATGGTACTTAAACAATTTCTTAAACTTGAACAGAGGGTCATGCCTGCTTAGCATCCCGTTGTCAGTGCTACTCTTCTACTACTTCTTACTGGACAATGTGCATGTATCCCAACTCAATAAAAACAGGAAGCTGGAATTACTCTTTCTGCTATAACAAAGTCTGAGATGAAACAAAACTGGGAACTTGAATACAACAAGCTATCTAACATCATCTCACAGAAAATCTGTACAGTGAAAGTAGCCCTAAGTAAACAAAACGCCAGAATAGTCTAGGCATGAAGAAAATAGAAGTAATGTATGTGCTTACTTGAAGACTGTTGTTCTGTAGTAGGAAATTAATTCCTGCTCTTGTACAACATCTTTGGAAAAGAATGAATTGTTACCTGTCTGCAGAAATCAACATAAACCAGTCCATTATGGTACCTGGAAACCAATAATCGAACCTTATCTTCTGACTTCCTACTTTTAACTGGAAAGCACGTATGCATTCAGGGGAAAAAAAAAATTATGAAAAGAGGAAAACAGATAATAAGTATTCTGTGTTTTGAGTTACTTGTCTTTTACCATGCATACAGCTGGCTTCTCTTGAGACAGCTCACACCAGAGCAGGTTCTTTAAATGAGAAGGAAAAACAAATCAAAGAAACCCTGCTGCTCAACATAGGTAAACAACACTCCCCCTGTCAGATAAACTTTGTCCAGCAGACCAGTACCAAGATATTCTTTACCTGAAAGCAGGGCTAGTGGAACAGACAGTGCAAGGTGACAAAAGCCAAGCTTTCTAGGAATACTGAGTGGGCAAAGAACAGATATCTGAGATATCCTATGCTACTACAAGTACATGCATTAGCATGTACAAAGCATCATGCAGACCAGCAGTGATAACACATGGCCATCCATCCTGCTCTAGCAGAGCATCAGGCACTGATATTCCATGTATGCCTTTGGGGCACAGATTCCCAGTAAAGGTTAGTGTGGCATCTCAACAATGCTTTAAAATTTGAAACCATCTAAGAAACTCTACAAAGTCCTGCCTAGTTCTGTCCAAATGTTTCCCAAATGCTCTTTGAATAAATAAATTCTTTCCAATTATTTTGTGAATATCTAATGACTAGCCATTAAGTTACGTAAACACCAGCAAAAAAACCTAACTAAATAAATGCATTTGTGTATCTTGCATACACTGATACAGCAAAGACTTAACTCAGGTAACACACTGAAGGACAGCAACTTTAGCCCAAGAGGTAAAACAGAATCTGCTCTCTGTTTATCTAATCATAGGATCATTTAATTCGTTTCATACAGGCACAGCTTAAGTGCACACAACAGGAACTAGGCATGTATAACAAACGCAGACATTGTATTGTAAACCAAAGAATGACACAAATACAGGCTAGTTTTCTCCTTGTGCTGTTTGTTGAGGACGTACTTTGCATATGTTGGTTGCACTTATCAATCCAGAGGTGCTCTATCAGAACTTATAAAAGGAGCTGCTTCTTAGTTCTGAGCAATAGCAGCTACAAGCAAGGAAGATGCTGCTGTAGTGGTGAAAGGGTACTAGAATTAAGTCTAAATTCAGACAGTGAAATATGTGCCTTCTTTGGTCATAATACCATACAGTTCTCAGATAACCAGACCTACTAGAAAGACATTCTCCAAGGTTAACTAGTAATTTTTTAAAAGCCTTTTCTGACAAGATTCTTTAGAATCTTGCAGATTATTTTTTTTTTTCTTTTGGAATGTCCCTACATCATGTCTGTGTGAAGTCACAAGGACACAAGAACAGCATCAACTATCAGTGACTAACACCCACTTATCCTCTATTGAGGCAGGTTCATTGCTACTACTGGATATAAGAAATAATAGGAATGAGGAAATGGTCTCAAGTTGCACCAGGGGAAGTTCAGGTTGGATATTAGGGAAAATTTCTTCTCAAAAAGAGTGGTGAGGCATTGGAACAGGTTGCCCAGGGAGGAGGTGGAGTCACCATCCCTGGAGGTACTCAAGAAATGCAGAGACGTGGCACTGAGAGACATGGATTAGTGGGCATGGTGGTGGTAGGTTGACAGTTGAACTAGATGATCTTTTCCATCTTGAACGATTCTATGTGTGAGGAACACATTGAGCATGCCTTAGACTAGAAAATGAGCATCAGGTAAGCACCAGGAAGAGTGAAACCTGTGACATTCAGCTCTTCTAAGTACACACAACAGGCCAAAAGGAAAGAATGTGCTTCCCCATTCGATCTTTTAGGACCACAGTGCTCTGACTTAGCTGTCATGCTAACATAATTCCTTTCCCAAGTTGGCATCATCCTTTAAGTAACGTCTTGTGTAAAATATGACTGCTTAGACATAGCTAACATTTATACTTAACAGCAGAGGGGCTAAAACTTCAAAGCACTTCAGTATCACTTCTCTGCTCCCTAGGTTACAAAAACACCACTACCACAGCTCTGTTTCAGAGTCCAGCTCCTGTTTCTGCTAGATCTGACTGTCCTTAAATAAAGTAAGCACAGACTAATATAACTTAATCAACTATCAGATCTTATTAATTGAGACAAAAAAAGCCAACTTCATCTCCACTTTTACTTAGAAACCTCCATTAGATGAGCTTGATACATACTTGACAAAAGTGGACCCATTTCTTTTCCCAAAAACAGGATTGATAGCAGAGAAGTGAACAAAAAAGAAAGAAAAATAACGGAATAGTTTTTACTCACCTGTACTACTTCTACTCCTCTTTTCCTGAAAAAGAAAAAAAAACAAAAAGGTTATTGCTGGAATGTGGAAAAAACGCACAACAAACTTTAAAGGTAAAAGGTTGCTTCATACTAGAATGCAAACACTAAAAATCTGCATTTGCTGATTCAAATTCAGGAAAGCATTTGTTCAGTTCTATTCTGTCTATGAAGCACCTTGGCAGTTTCTGAACCATGGCCTCAATGGGGACATGGGACATGCACTGAGCAGCTGTAATGCTGAGACCAATGCAGCTACCCAGTGGGCACAGGTGGTAAGTGGGTGATGCAAGGGGGAGAGCATCTGAATTCTAATCATACATCAAAGCATCGAGAACTGAAACTGGCAGAGCCAGTGGAGACCCATCTACTCTGCTAGTATGAGAATTGAGATTCAGGTACACGCAGCCCAGCAATGTTCAGTCAGTGCATTTGACAAGTTATCAAGAAAAACAAACCATTTCTGCTTTAGTCTGGAGAGCAGAACTAAGTATCTGGCACAAAGCCCAGTCGTTCCTGTTCCATGCCACTTTCCCACTACATGAGGGCTATTTAAATACATTATGAACTTCTCCTCACTTTGAGGACATAAAGAATTTAATTTAAGAATCAAAAGCCTCAGCAAGGACATGACTGGAATCTTTTTTTCTCATTGCCACTAACCTCATCTGTGAAAATCAAAGACCCTTGCTGGAGAGGTCACAGGGCAGCGCTGCCTGACTGTCCCCAGCACCCTCCTATCTACCAGTGCCTATGCTGCTTTCCACAGTCGCAACTGTTACACACTGCTGAATGCACAATGATCCTCCAGTTTTCTCCCCAATACAGTAAGTCTTTCTTTTGGAAGGCCGTTACAAAGACGCCCAAAGGGACAGGCAATCCATCAGTATCTATGACATAAATTTTTCCCTTCTTCCACTTCACAAGCCTGGAGTTTCTCTGGCTGAAATGCAGAGTGCGTGCACTGCACGGTCAAAACAGAGCTCATCGTTGCTCAGCAAGGAAATTAAAAAGAAAATGAAACCAAGCACCTCTTACAGAGGATTTCAAAGCCCCCTTGCAAATAACAGTGGCCTGTAAATGGTGGGTGATTGATGTGTTGCCATTAGAGTGTGGGAAGCATTGCTGCAAAACAGCACCTGAGGCTAGCCAGATGCATTCCAATTATGCTCTGGGAAGAAAGACTCTTGTAGAGAAAGAGTTAATAGCCAAATTGCTGAAACAATGACTTTCACACAGCTAAGCCAGATAAACAAGAAATATTAGGTAGCAAGTGTTGTGTGCTTTTCTTTTTTTGTAAATGAGTGCAGCAGCCCACTGGTGAGGCATTCCAAAGTACTGTAAGCTAAGACTTAAAATAACCAAACTAGCTACATTTTTGCTGTGTCTGCCCTGGAGTAAAGAGAACTCAAAAGCGTCATAAAAATACACCAGGCTACAGCAAGAACTACTCCAAAGCTCCTTGAAGGACGGCAACTGATGGAAAAGGCTGCATTTTTTGCCATGCCTACACACACTGAATAAGTTTTGTCCTATTTTACAGAAGAGAAATACTTGAAAGCTGGTTGCCAAAGCTACTTGAGAACGAATGGGCCTAAAGGCTTTCTATAATGACCCCAAAATGGACTCTGCAAATTTACCAGGAATTGCTGAAACCGACTGTACTGCATCAGCAGAAGGTAGAAGCCAGCCTACAGCTTTTGTTTACGCTAACAAATAGCGAGAAGCATCCGGTGCTGAAGACGCTGTCACACACTTAGTGGCTATGGGAAGGAGGAAGCGATCAGCAAGGTTGGCTTGCGGCACTGGATCTTCCTCTTTCTCAGTAGTGGGCTTTCCCCTTCGGTTATATGAAATATTGAACTACTTACACTTAAACCCAGGAGACAAGAAAGCACAGAAGCATGTATGTTTTGTGGATTAGGTATCTTGGGATAAATCCTCTATCAAAATAGTTTTTTTGTGAAATTAAGCTATTTAAAGAACCAAAGATACCCAAGTAACCAGGACGGCAGGCAGCCTCGTGTCTCTGTTAGATCACCACCCAGCAGTGCCACAAAGCCACAAGGACAGACAGGTTGTGGCTGTGAGGCACCAAGATGGGCACTCCACAGCCAAGTGCACACCACACTAGCTGTCCCACATCTTGTAGGAAAGGGATTAGGAGTGGAAAACAAGCTGTTACCCCATACAAAAAACTCTAGGACTGCCCCCCCCCCCAAAAAAAAAAAAACAACAATGGGCAGAAAGAAGCAGACCACAGGCCATAAGTAACTCAGCAGCAAGGGGTGTGCAGGTGAGGTGGAGTAGTTGCCAAATTAGCCCGTCTGAGAGCCCAATAGAATGAGCCTGAAACCAAGTCATATCCTGCCTGAGGAAGGGCAGCTATTCCCAGCTTGTCCAGACACCTCCTGGAAGTGGCTACATGGGATCCAAAACAAGCTATACAATACAACCCCTTTTTTCTGAGGGGAAGAGAGTGATCCCCATTAGTTGTGTTTCCCTCCTTCTTCCCAAGAGGTGACACAACCACCTCAAAGCAAGACTGCCCGCCTATTTTCCTTGAGCAAACCCTTGAAAAATGGTCACTCTGAAACAATGTTCCTAGAGGTCACTGTTTTTAGAACAAATATAATTCTAAAGAATATCCAGACTGGGACCTTATACCAGCCAGGAAAAGTAAAAATAGCAAGTGCTAGAAATCCTCTGGAGAAAAAGAGAAGAAAAAAATTGGCTGAAAGTGGTAAAACTAAACACCTAATTTACACCAAAGCTTCAGTGTCTTCAATTGGTCCAGTCTGTCTAAAACTATGGAAATGTATTCACAGGCATCACAAATTTCTGACTGGCGCTTTAGCACACCCTTCCTTCAGCACTGAGCTTTCATTTAATCAGACACTACAACATCTCAAGAAAAAAAAAACAAAATTGTTAAAGTTATCTGCTATTCTGGATAAAACCCAGAAGCCCATCATGACTTAATTCTATACCTGAGGCATGTGGACAACTCTACAACCACGTGGAACAGTGACTAAAGTAAGTTACCATGCTACATGACTTAAGAAGTTATGAAGTTATCTATGGATTCAGGGAAGAGTTTAATATCAAGTTACTACGAGCCCATAAACTGGTGTTTTAGAACTGATCTTCTACCATAGTCTCAAACTATGTGGAACAGTTTTGGTTGTTTGCTTGCTTTAACATCCAAAGTAAACAGTTTGAACTACTTCACCCCAGCATCTCAGACTAAAATGCTACAGTGAATGACAGTTAAAAAGAAAAAAATTACTATAATGTCATACATTACAGCCAGGGTTAAATTAAGTAGCATATTTTTGCTGTCTGGACTGAGTGACAGATTGAAAAATGGCAAGCAATTTACATTTTGAGAACTAAAAAGCAATCATGATATCTGCTTTAATAGCCTAAGCAGTTATTAATGCATGCAGTGAAGTTCATTTTCTCAGATATGAGGATGTTTCACCTCCAGAAGATCCCATTTAGAAAAGTAGCAAATAATAACATACTGCTTTGACATAAAACATAAAAGCATTTTTTGGTTTCAAAGGGATTTGCATAAATATTAATGAACCAGAGCAAAAACAGCATCCAGTAAGATTTTCCACCTGAAATTATCAGGCACCAAGGACGGCACCCTACAAAAAGTACCAAAGCAAAGTGCAATAATCAGCAAACACCAGCCACCCCACAGCCTCACAGACATCCTGTTTTTCTCTTCCAGGCACAAAGGCGAGCTCAGCTAATTTGCACGAGATTTTCCATCAGCGGGGCACCCTGCATTTCTGTCAGGGAATATTTTGAGGATCCATGCTTTTATTACCTTCCCTCACTGATGGACATTCATTACTGCCCACGACAGAAGCAACCAGACAGCAGCCCCAGTGCAGTGTGTGCTGCTGGGAGGTGCAGGCCTACAGTCATAGGTCAAACTGAAGTTAGTTGAAAGCACCTGAAAAGCTACAAGACTTGGAAGTAACACAGGAATTTTGTTTTTGTGGTTTATCGTTGCTTTGCAGCCAATCTATTAAGCAGGGAATTAATCAGAGATAATTTTGCTAATATAAATGCAGCTATTCCTTTTAGGAAGGTTTTGTTCTTCTTCCATTAGTAATTTTGAAAGATTTATGACTGGAATTAGTCAGAAGTTGATGTTTGGGATAGGGAGAATCCTTGGTTTTCCATATCTCTGTAAAGCATCATAGATCCAGAGGAGAAGGACAATCAAGTTTACCCTTATAGATAGGTAGCCACAGATAGTGTTCTATGTTTTAAGTGTTCTTCAGATAGGCTGAAGAAATGGGACCTCTGACAGCCACTGAGGATTTTTTTAAACAGAAAAAAATCATGGGAGACAGCCATGTATGTGCATTTCATCATTCTTTTTATAATCACATAGAATCACATAGAATGGGGAACAGACCTCATACATCAGACACTACAACATGGCAAGCAGTTTTCATGTAGCCATCCCACGTGACAGTTGGGAGAGCCATCTGCTCTCCTCCACATCTTCAAAGCATTATATCATCCCATCTACAGCTATAAAACTGCTCCTTTGAGCACCGTACCAGAACAAGATGCCAGAAAATGGATTAGAAAAAAGGAGAGCTTTTTGACAGGGCAGGAAGCAACATCACTCTGGCATTTACCTGAGGCACCACAGTGCTTCTACACCTCCAATTCCCACCACAACACAGGCACCTTCCAGAAAAGAGCCAGCTAGAACCCCACTAATCTGTCATTCTGCCAGACCAATGACAAACTGAAGTATCCAACATCAAGACTTCAGTGGTTGAAGCTGCAAGGAGGAGAAAGCCACAAAAGAAAGAAACCAGACACTCTGAACAGTAACCATAGGGAATATACTACCTTAAGTCACTAAATATAAAGTCTACATTTCAGTAATACAAACTTAAAAAGGATCTGTTTTCTTCTATTTTCTTTTTAAACTAGACATTTAAGACATTTCCGTGGTGATCTCTGCAT